AATTAATTAATGTATTTATTTATTTATTTATTTATTTATTTATTTATTTATTTATTTATTTATTTATTTATTTATTTATTTATTTATTTATTTATTTATTTATTTATTTATTTATTTATTTATTTATTTAATCCTATAACACAGGTATGAATATCCTCGGGCGGACATCCGGGTGTTTTCATCGCCTGGCAACCATCACGGAAAACTCTACTTTGGTATAGCTGTTGAGACTCTGCTGGTTAGTGTAGCATGATTAGCCCTACCTGTGCAATATATATAAATTCAGCTGCTCAGGGTTACTTCAAAGTTGAGTTTGTGCTGTTTTCACTAGCTCGTGAAGAGCCAACAGAAATGCATTGTATATCAGTGCGCGTCTTAGCAACGTTGAACGTTCTCTGACTGGACGTAGCTTCGCCCCCGAGGATATGCGAAAAAATAGTATAATTTAAATATGCGAAAATAAAGTATAATTTAAATCTCGTGAATGTGCCGTATCCGAAGCAAACACACCACTCAATTGACCAAAAAACTCTCTAATCGTCGGTTGAACAGGCTAGTATTAGATCAAAGTGCCAAAATAAAGGGACGCTGGATGATTGACAATGTAACCAAAGCAAAAATAATAGATGACAAGGCACGCAGTTTCCAATTCCACAATCCATAGTTCATTCCAAAAACACCATTTTAATTATTACTACCCAATGAATCGCCATAATTAACCCAACATAAAAACCCACACAGACATAATACTTAACACTATCAGTTCTTCGGAACGAAGAAACTAGAGAGGATCAGAACCGACGATATAAACCTGGTCTCCAGTTGATAGCCAGGGGGCAACCTTGTAGAAACCAGTTCTTTGCGCCACCATTTTTTGTCACGCTCATCCACTTGACCCCATGGTGGAGCTCTATATGGTTAGTTTAATATAAATTAAACAAAATTTGATTAACTAATTCAACAAGGCATGATTATTTCCTGTAATTGGCAGAACAAATAAAGTAATTTAAAGAAAAGGTCAGCTAAGCAGTGCGCCCTCAGTGTCCAAAGTGACAAAATCTCCAATGACCAAACTAGCCGGGGTCAACCGAATTACGATCAGAATGGATTGCAATACACAAGAGGATCCTAGTTTTGATTGATTTCATTACCTTTTTGAATATATGTCTCATATACTTTATTATATTATTTATTTAGCAGTTTTTTAAAAGTTCCGAAATCGTGAAAGCCTACAAGGCGGTGGTTTAAACAGTACAACATAACATGTACAAGAAATGATAAGAGAATGATGAAAAATATAATACTAATAAAATAAAATATATGAAATTAAAAAATACACACGGCGTACAATACATCAGATTGTAATTGACGAGACGATTTATCTTAATGTCAAGTGTAAAGTGGCGTGCGGTTAACAAAATCATTTCTATGGCAGGAGAGTCAACGACAGCGCATGGCATGAATATCGTCACTAGCGACCAAAACTCAAACATTTCTTTATCGGAAAATCTCAAAAATACCTATTTTTCGAAATATTAAAAAAAAATCAACAAACATACATGATTCTGACGCAACGTGATTAGCTTTAACTCAGTCCACTGAGGAAAGTGATATGTGGCTTGACATCCTGTGTAATCTGTATGGATCTTTCAAAACGACTCACAGTGGGATAAATATCTGAACTGAGTAGACCCGAGGAGGGGATTCTTCCATAGAAAAGATATATGGGTATATGCCACCCAACTGGGTATCTTTTTCACACCAGTTTCTAGAGAAGTGGGTATCAATATTGACACGTTTATGGTCCAGAAGTGGGTTAGATTTTTTTAATGAAAAAGGTTCGAGAAATCTCCAACAACAAAATTCTTTGGAAAAACGCCTGAAACTGTTATTCGAGAGCCGTCTCTTGTTTCCCAGCAGATAGTGCCTTACGTACTTTGAACTTTCACCTATTCTCTATTCTCATATCTGTTCTCATATAGTATGGCATCATTGTGTGATACTGCGCATGCGTTCTGCAGTATTGGAATCAGGCTTATATGTTGGTCTTGAAGTGGGTATGCAATTATTAAAAACAGTGATCTGGAAGTGGGTGGGCGTCAAACACTAATTGGGCGACACACCCCTACCTATTGTGCTTGAAAGAAAATCCCGGGGGTGTAGACAATATTCATTGCGTGTATTTTAAATAACACATACAAACAAGAATATCATATATTGAACACAGTGGACTATTCAAGCACCCCGTAAAATATAGTGGAGATTCCTCCTGAATCTAGGTAGTTTGCTTACTTTATTGAGAGGAGGTAAAACATGTCCATTGTGGTGCCGTGGTTTTCAGTAATGTTTATCAAATCACTATTTCAAATTTGACAGCACAGTATAGTTTGTGATAATTTGCACCGATGCTACACGTCTGGATACCCCAGTTTGTTTTCTAATCACGTAATCGGCAATAAAATGGTACAGTTTACTGCGAAGCATCTACAAATAGTTGTTTCTGAAATAAGACGGAGACATCCTTTCATCCTTTCATAAACTCCAGAGAGCAAATTATATATACACATCCCCTGCATGACAGAAATGTAATACATGCGATACAGGATATTTAAAATTAAAGTTATTGTTACGCAATAATAATTACTAGTATGAGTTGCGGTCACCCCAATCTGCGCATGCGTTATGAAGGAATTGTTATTATCTTTGGCACCAGCTGAGTGCTACAAATTAATGTTGCTGTACGTGGTATGTTTAGTTTTAAAACCAATCGAATGTTTTTACCCCGATTTTAGTAAGGATATTATCAGTAGCCAGCCAGTCTGTCATTGTTTTTCTCATAATACAGAAATTACGTTAGTTTGACAACTATTTTGGTGGGTTATCATTAGTTGAACTGCCTCCAAACAGACCTTGCTTCATGGAAGACCACCATGACATGTCGAGCGGCAGATCCCCCATTTCATGGACAGCTTTCCACGACGGCATTACGTCGATGGCATTGGGAGACCCCTTGATGTGCAGGTTTTTTATTTTCACTGTCAGTCGGTGGTTGCCTTCGTCCTTGGGTACCATTTTTACTGTGAATGTTCTGCTGTGTTTGTCCCGCGACTTGCATACAGAGATGTCGAGTTTGTTAATCTCCCCGCTCGGCTCTTCCAGCTCCGCCACCATCATACTTGTGCAGCCAATATCCTTGTCCGGGTCGTACTTCTTCGTTTCTATGGTAACGGACACCTCCTGTCCAATCCTTACTACTGCCGGTAATTTACTGACGTCGAGGTGTAGCTGGGATGGCAGCATCGGGATACCTATAGCACCAAGATGGCCTTCTACGGTGACATCCCGTGGAATAAAATGCGGTATTGCCATGATGCTTTCTGGGGAGTTAGAATCCAAGGCGACCAGAGAATCCATGGTATTTGAAGTCTCGCTTCGTAAGGACATCATTTGAGACATATTACCAAATCGTAAGAGGTTCTCTACAAACTTTCGTGTCTTTGTACTGACTTCCAATGCAGTCTGCAAACGACCAAGTTCTTTCTTGATATTCCCCCTCACAATGCAGTGTTTTGCCTTTAACCCATCCAGTAACTCCCCTTCTTCTTCTCTCAAAGTACTCGACACTCGCTCTATTACTTCTTGTGTGTGTTGTTTAATAATACGTTGCTCTTCCAGGTATCTTTCGGATGCAAGTTTGGAGGCCTCCTCGACGTTAATTTTACTGTCGTGCATTTCTTTCTCTGTTAGTTTTAACTCGGCAATCTTGATTTCCAGTTCTTCGCGGTATTTTTTAGCCACTACCGCTATATCTAGGTGTTGGTGTTCCGGTGCACGATGGTCGATGATGGTACATTCCACACACACACCTACTTTGCACGTACTGCAGTAGAATTTCAATTCGCTACCGACATGTTTGCTACAATGAACAGCTGGTTGAACCAGAGACGGGCTGATCGTTTTAGCTTCCTCATATTCTGCAAATGATAACAATTTGTGATTTCTCGTCGCCGGGATCTTCTTATGTGCATTTGAACAGATCGAACATATATCAAGTGCACATTCTACACACCTGTTGTCTGGCTTGCGTTCCTGGCAACTGTCACATACTTGCGTGCCCTCTCCTTTTTGCTTGGTCTCTGCCATCGCCAGAATGTTGTTCAGAAAAAAACTGGGTTTCAGTTGCTCTAATCCACCGTCAGGCACGGGACATTTTTGCCGACAGACTGGGCACTTTATATATTCTGCATCCTTCTCGACGAACCCGACCACACACTGCGCACAGAATGAGTGCAAACACGGTAGAATTTTGGCATTTTTGTACCGCTCCCAGCATACTGTACATGTAAGAAAATCTTCGTCGATTTCAATGCGAGTCGTTCTTTGCGTCATGGCTGCCGCTCTGGAGTCGGTTGACCCCAATTGTTATATGAATTGCTCTGTTGATACCCAGGCAAATGTCCAATGTCAAAAGACTACAAGCCGTTGACGGTCTTCATCAGCGTTCACTGAAGTACATTGTATACAAAGTACATTGTCGCACACTTAGATGTTCGAAATTGCAGTTGAAGATATACATTATATCGACAGTGGTATACTGTCACTGTGACCTACATAAATATATATGCATATATATATATACAAGACGTGGAAGATCGGGTCGTGTGCAATACTGTTAACACGCAGTGGATGCCGGGATTTCAGGGAGGGTTCAGTTCCATGTATGGTGGGTTAGCCAATTCGTCATTAAAATATGGCAACCGCTCCAGATATATGCGTTCGCCAAAAGTATGACTTCCATCCAGCTTGAACTTTTTCCCGATCACGCAAGAAATGAAATGAACATGTTTGCGTTTAACACACCGTGTAGGCCGCAGTGTCTAGAAATATAATGCGTCTAAGGGTCACTGTAACCTGTAGATAAAGACGATTACTAAATAGATACGTGAATAGAACTATCTGAACAAACAAAAAAACGGTTTTTAAATAGTATTAGGTTCTTGACTTATGCCACCAAAATCCTGTTATGTTGGTAGGTATACGGAGTGTATATGGTGTACTATAGCCACACTATTTTTCGTTTTTATATGAACACCACATCCACATTGACGCAACAAACTAAAGGGTTGGCATACATATATTGTCTAGGGTGTAACACAGCCATTGTTTATGCGATGTTATATACCAAGTTTACACTCATCAAGAATATCTTTTATATATTAATCCAGTTTGTGTTATTTTTTCTGATTCTTATAACTTTCTGGTTGAGATTTCAATCTGAGGCAATATTTGGTTGTTTCATTATCTGCTTTATAGAAACTTGCCAAGTTCACCCCTATATCTATTGTAGGTGTCATTTTATTTACGCCAAGAATAAAACGATAAAAAGAGCTACAGGCTCATTTAATAAATCAAAGGTCCTTATTTCTGAACTATATATTTTAAAATTGGCGATATAAGTTGGTCAAACATTTAATACATATAGTTGGTGATATCATTTTATTACTTGGTATAGTATTTCTTATTGTAAATAATGCTTTCATGGCTTTTTTCAGCATTTGGTTGTTGAGCTTGAATTTTCCGTTGGGGGTGAAAATTACCCCCCAGGTAGCTGAATTTTCCGTTGGGGTTGAAAATTACCCCCAGGTAGCTGAATTCTTTCACTGGATTTATATTTTGATTATTTATTTATAATATACCATTGTTTTAATGCTATGATTGACATGGACAGCGACGTTCAAATGAAATGGACTAAGCAGCAATTGTTCTTTTGTTCACTGAAAATGTTAGGAATATCAAAAAATATGACACGATATTGTGTCCGGTCGCATACTTTTTTCCAGCACGCCATATGTACGAAGTGAGGTTTTCCTGATGATTGATGATTTTGCATGACATTTTAAAATTTAAGCTGTTTCACGTGGTTTCGCCGAGGTAATTATCAAGCGTAATAATGGTCAACACTTTACGCAACCATGTGACGCATACATGCGTACACGTGACAGGCATTCGTACAGCATTGGCGATAAAACACGTCATACTGTATGAGATGCAGCAGTTCTTTCAAAATACAGTGGAAATTGTAAATCAATACATATGCATATATAAATATTAGCATATATGAATAAAATACATTTCACATAAAATTACAAGTCTATAATTACATAATGTGGTGTGGTGCATAAAAGTTAGCCAGCTCGACAGAAAAATTGATATGATGTTTGTATTTATTAACTCCAATTATTCACACAAATCAATTGATGTCAAGTATACATGTAACAGCGGGATCCAACATAAATGTGAGCAATATTGTTATATCGTATGTCGTGTTAGATGTATACCAACGTACTGAGTGCCATCATGGATGTACATCCATGGTGCCATATAGTGGAAGATATTAACTGTGGCGCCCTTTATTAATAACGCCAGTTCATGTACACAAACAAATGACTGTACTTTCCCTCTTTATATAGCGGCGTATTGTTCGATTTGTGGAAAACTGTTGTGATTTAGTAGCATACTCTCAAATAAATAGTTATGATTATGATTCAATTATTTACCGATATGCAGAACATGCAATCATTTTTTTAATTATATGAAAATTGGTGCTTACAAGTCTTAGTAGGGGATTTGGATTATAACACGATCTAAATCCAACGTTAAGCCTATAAACGTTCCAT